TGTACAGAAGAGATAGCGCGCCACCTCCTCAGTGTGCAAACAGGAGCTTGGCAAACAGACCTGAGCCATCATCACAAAACAGAGATAAAAGTGTTTGTTCTATGAAAACACCAAACGGTAACATGTTGCTGAAATTAATAAAGAGGAAATTGACGGATGGGCGAAGACAAAGATCTGTTTACACTTCAGATAATTTTGTGGGGGTAATTAAAGGGAGTAGTTACCAGGCCAGGGGTGAGCAATATCTTTTTTCTGATGGGCCACATTGGGATATAGGTATATTGTGGAGGGCCAAACTAATTTTCATGCGGTTATCCTTTATTTTGAGTGTAAGCTAATTCTGTTTTATTTATATCAAATGTGTTTCATAAATAAAAGTATTCACAGAAGAGAAAGAGAGAAACCTTAAGATATCTAATGTCATCTTTATGTTTGTCTCAAGTGTGCTGGCTGATGATTATTTTTATTTATTTATTTAGTATCTGCAGCTATATTTTAGTTTTAATAGCATTAATAAAGCATTGGTTTTAAAAAAGCGCTTTTTGGACACTCTAAGACAATTCACATTCTCATTATTCATTCACTGTACACACTGACAGAAGCGAGCAGCCATGCACACACACCAGGCTCCTTCTAGGCTATGTGGGTGGAGTGTCTTGCCTTAGGACACAACGACAGTTTGGCACTTTACAGCCGCAGCCGCACCTGGTGTACCCAGAGGTCGCCCATCAAAGTACTAAACATGTCCGGCTCTGCTTAGCTTTGGAGATCTGACAGAATGTGGCTTTTACATGCATGGCCACAACTATAATTGCACTTTTTGCAATATTGGGGGCGAGCGTGGCTCAGTTGGTAAAGCATTGGCCTTTGAGCCGGGAGGTCGTGGGTTTGAGCTAGGGCTGGGCAATATGGAAAAAAAGTAAAATCTTGATTTTATTTCCTGCTTTGGGCGATTTTGATTTTAAATCGATTTTCATTAGCCACTGAAGACTTTGCCCTTAGAAATATGTTTTGATCTTTCCGCTCAATATTCAAGTTTCAAAACTATTTTTAATTTGTTTCCCCAATACGTATTATAAAAGTCTTGTACAGCCTGTGCTGATATTGCAAGTATAATTCATGTGCTGCTGGAACTCACATTAGCTTTCATTCAATTTGAGACGAAGTTTGATTTTTTCAAAAGCCGATTATTTGCCTAAATTCAATTTATTGCCCAGCCCTAGTTTGAGCCCCCCTCAAAACCTTCTCCACCAATTCCCGCTGATGTCCTTTGGCAAGACACTTTGCCTATAAGGAGTGTTGAAGTAATGTTGTGCTCCTTATAGGCATGTTTATGTGTGTATGTGTATTCACCAAACTGCAATTTTCCCACTGTGAGAAGAATAAAGGTCCTTCTTCTCTTGTATTATTCACCTGTCTTGAGATTTAAAGTAGCAATATCTAATATTTTCACTGCCAAGTCATCATTATATGGTCCTAATATGTCAAAAATAAATAAATCATGCTTTTTGAACTGATAACAGTAGTTCAGTCAAGATCTTTGAATTTCAAATTTATTTTTACAGCCTCTAAATCTTGTTAGTTTTCCTTTCAGTGTCACTGCCCTCCACCGTTTTACGTAAGATTGTGTTTTTATTATTCTATGTAACTGCAAAACCTGTAGCACTGGGCTCCCCATGTGACAACGGTAGAGTACAATTGTAAATCAAATTCAAACCATTGGAATGATTGCATAATTAGAACATTGCTTTTTGTTTAATATGATAATTCAGATTTATATTTCAGTTGGAGGCAGGTGCCAATACAGTTCTAGAGAAGCATTTGTTCTTTTTTTTTTTTTTAAATACAATTTCCAAATCCAGAAGTTATTCTTATGTAATGGCCAACATCATGCATAAGTTTTGAATACGGTCCTTTATGAAAAAAGGATTTGTCCATTGTTGATAATTACTGACAAGGATGATGTGGAATATTGTAAAGTGCTTTGTGTGACATTAGTCTTTGAATTTGTGATATATGATATGATATACATACACAGGAGAATGTGTGTATATGTGAGATCAATAAAGTCTATCTTAGTTTATAGCTCATATAGAGAATAAAGAATAAATCTTGACTTTGACAGTTACCATAGTTACCAGGAAGGATTTTGCAGCTGCCTTCCACCACAATTGTAAACTATAGACTATTAGGCATGATGTGATTTTGCATGAACATAACCTATTAATTATATGTCATTCAAGAAATCATCCTTGAGGTAAGAAAATTCACCACCCAAGATCGTACTTTTAAAATGTTATCTAAAGCTTGAGCCAAATTGCCTGCTGTAGTGCATATAGGCTCGTGGTGAGATGGAGCTTGTGATGCAGCTCTGGACAAACATTAGGTAAAGGCAGGCCTGACAGCTGAGGGAGTGTGCTGGCTCTGATAACATGGCACCAGCGAGGTCCTGGCAGAGCGCTGCGCAGTGCACTCCCACAGTTGTGAATAATTACTAGAGCTGCTGACTGAGTGCAGGGGAGATAGAGGGAATCCTCTCACTCATAACTAGAGATGACTGTGCTGAGCCAATGAATGTTAATGGTTATAGATTTCGAGGAGAGAAGGCATATACACAACACAACATAATCTGATTTTTAGATGCTTTAGAATAAAAGAGTGGATATATCTAATCAATAAAAAAACAACTAAGAGGTTCCAGATCCAGGCCAGACCATAGACTGTATTGACCAGACACATGCTGAACCCCAATAGCATTTATAAAACTGGGATCATGTGGTAGGGCATATGAAAGGCTTTTTTGGGATGAATGTGTCAGCAAATGGAAGAAGGCTCAGTGTTTAAATTTAATACAAAAATGCACATGTTTTGTCTAAAAGTATGATTTGAAAAGGTGAGCGCTGCAGGGTTTGAGCTGCCGCACGCTGCTGTGTATTCCTGAACAGATCCCATACTGCCCTCTAGTGCCCACACAGTAAACTGAGCTACAGTAGGAGCCGTATAGCAAACTCCAGTTCAATGTTCAGTCCGTTACAGTTCATCTGTGGTGCATTCTGAGAACAAAGGGCGAAAGCTGTGGCGTTCTATAGAACCTATCGATAGTACCTATCTGCTTAGTGTGTACTAATATATTGGAACCTAGACCTAGGGTATTACATTTTAAAACCACAAGACATTGAAATATAAATCAACCTATATAATATAAAACCCATCTATCTAGCCCCTCACGCTTCTCTAATTCACACATTGTGTGGCCACATGTCTAGATCAGCTTTTCAGACAAGAGGAGGAAAACCACCAACACTGCTCAAGCTTAAAGCATGGGTCTTTCTTACAAGAAAGGTTTTCTTATAAGACATGGGATTTGGTCTCATTTATCTATACAATTTCTGTTGGGAAAAATGTTATAAATTATTTAAAAAAGAAACAACTTCTTTATCCAAGCTAATGGTATATGTATGCATGTGAAGTACTGAACTCAATTTTTTTACTTAAAAAAAAAAAAATTTGTCATTTGCAGCCATTAGCCACTGCACTGTGGTCTGCAATTGTGTCTTTGGGTGACGTATCCCTTGTAAAATAATATAGATTCCCCCTTCTGTAAGTGGAGCATCATAACGTTTTCTATAAGTGCGGCTTATGGTGTTTTTGAGGTAGCTAAAATAGTGATTTTAAATGTTCATTGACTCTAAAGGCTATTCTACAGCTTTAGAAAAAAACAGCAGATATTTCATTAGACAAGTGCGGGAAAATAGCCTGAAAAACCTGGCTTTCGGGACTCATGTTCCTTGGGGTGTCTGCATGATGTAGTGTGGCATGATTAGAGTGTGCTGTGTCAGCTCTTCTGCCAGCTGTTGTTTACCTGGTTTTCTGTATCTAGGCACCAGGTGGTTCCACATCCGCCCCATAAAATAATAAGTGTATTTTTGTTATACTCACTCAAGACTCAAGGAAATTGAAAAATCTCATGGACCTTATTTTTTTATTCATCATCACAACTGAAAACAGAAGACTATGGTTTCCTAATATGCCTCAGAGTAAAAGTACTACACGATTGAAATGTACAAGGGTTAAAACATGGCTACAGGCCTGCATGCACAGTACAGCGTTTTCTGAGTGTTGCGCAGACCAGTCTACCGCTCAGTTTTAGGCACATCCATCTGAACCGTACACAATGTGTGAGGTGCTACTTGCTGTTGGGGAGCATTATGCAGGACATGTGTTCAAAAAAGGCACAACCCCAACCATCCAGACCTCCAAGAGTCACCAAGCAAACGCTTAGAAACTACAGACTTCACATCGCCCAACGCTCTGTAGTGATTTAAACAGCAACATCAAACGAACTGTAGTCCTAGGTCAGAGAGTAGTTCTAAAGCGTGTTTAAATAGACAAAGCATTTATTTCAGACTATAACAATATGCACCATAATCCAAAACATACTGCTATTCAGTTTCCGCCTGTCATTGGTTGTCATATGTGCTCAGAGACTGTTATTCTCTTTTGTGAAAACAACAGTCCATTTTCAACCTTCAAATCTGCAAATGTGATTTTGTGTGTTGAAGTTGTAAAGAAAACGTGACATCACAAGCGCATTCATTGCAGCAGCACTGTACAGAAGAAACATTTAATAAAACCAGTCTGTTCAAGTAGTGAGTCGAGTCTATTCAATCCATTGTTGCATCCATCATTTCTTCCATAGGAAGGTCAAAGCTCAATTCCCCCACATACGATTAAAACATTAGCAGGATATTCAATAATATTCACCACGCTTGAAGTCAATTAAAATGGGTTGAGTAATTTTCACTAAAGAAATAAAACAAAATACAATTTTCTAAAATCATAGTGTGCCTTCCACTGAGGTACACTGGCATTGGTGAATTAAAATAGTCAGTCATCTGTTGTAATGTCCAGTGTGGTGGAGGTGCTGGGAGTTTGTTGACATAAGTACAGAGAAGAAGAGAAACGCTTTACAAAATGATCTTGTACCTACTGAGTGATGATTATGTCCCGTCAGTGTCTGGGACACAGTCTAGCACAGGCTGACTGGCAGCTTCCGCCGTAGACTCACTCTTTGAATTATTCACACTGTCCTCAGGAGAACCAGACTGCCCCTGCTCTGGATCCTGCTCCGCTTCATTTGTGGGAGGCACAGAGTCAGAGGAAAGCTCTGGAGTGAGCTCTGCAGCAGGCTCAGTCACGCATGTGTTCATACCAGGTCCTTTCTCCCAGGAGAGCGAAGGGGAGCTCACAGCCACATGTGTGTGCTCCTCCTGCTTCTCTGGAGGGGGGCTGTGCTCCTCATTCACACGTGTCACGCAGGAGTTGTAGGATGCAACTTGTGACACCTCATTAGGCGCCTCGTGAGACTCCTCATGGGACTCCTTATGAGACTCCTCATAAAAGTCCTTTAGAGACTCCTCGTGGGACTCCTTATGAGACTCCTCATAAAACTCCTTATGTGACTCCTCATGGGACTCCTTATTAAACTCCTCATGGGACTGCTTACGACAATCCATACGAGACTCCTCTTTGGACGCCTCATGAGACCCACTGTGGGACCAATCAGGGGACCTGTCGTTGGATCCCTCATGAGCTTCCTCATGGGACATCTCTGTAGGAAGTGTAGAGTCTTGGACCAGACGCTCTGGAGAGCTCATTAAAGGAGGGGACTGGGCAGCTGGACAAGCCGGTGAGAGTGTCTGCTGTGGGGTCTCAGTTGGTGATGGGACAAAGTCGGGGGACTGACTTAAAACCGCTGGACTCTCATGTGATACTGCAGCATGTGGAGGGGGAGCTTGTGTTTTAGGCACCAAAGGAACAATGTTCTTCTCTTGGGGCTCTGGCACAGACTGCTGGCTCTGTGACGGAGGGGGGGATTTAGTTTGAACTAAAGGTTGTGGCAGAGGAAGGCCCAGGAGTGGAGGCCGGGCTGGGGTCAGTGGAGGGGCCTGGAAGCGTGACTGAATGGGAGGATTTAACTTCAACGGCGTTAACATTTTGGTGGGGTTTAGAGCCACGTTTGAAGTGAGGGGTGGTGTTGGAAGCAGAGGTGTGGGTAGAGGCAGAAGGGGAGTCCAGTTCCCTCGCTCTCTGTCCCGCTCTTTATCTCTTTCACGCTCAGCCTCTCGGGGGCGATCTCGCCCACGGTCTCTTTCTCTCTCTCTGTCTCTGTCCCTGTCTCGCTCCCTCTCCCTCTCTCTGTCTCTGTCCCTGTCCCTGTCTCGCTCTCTCTCTCGGCTGTGACGACCCCCATTCATCTCTCGTCTGAAATCAAAGTCTCGCTCGTCCCGGTCTCGCTGCCGGTCCCACGGCCGCCTACGCTCGTCTAAATCTTGGTGTACGTCACCTTCAAAAGTAGCAGAGGGACCAGTTCCACGACTCCAGGGTTGAGGTGGGGCAGGTGTTGCTCCAGCACGGTTGTCAAAGCGACTGGGGAAGTTCTGCCCAGGAACGGTGCGATTGCGTTCGTCAAAGTCCCCTCTGGCTTGACCCCAGCGGTTATCAGGGGTGAAGCCAGCAAGAGCCTGGAGCCGCCCGGCGAGGCTTGTCCTGGCTGGCTGACTACCAGGCGTTCCAGGGGTCTGCAGTAGGGGAGGCCGACCGCTGCTAGGGGTCCCCAAAGACTCTCGTTGCTCTGGGGGCGGGGTCCGCAGTAAGCCAGTACTCGGCTTCTCCATTGGGGGGAAACGGTAGTCTTGGTCTTTCCCCTCATCAGCCCCAGTGGAAGACTTTTCTTCCGTCTTTGTTATACTTTCATTGTTTAGATTAGGGGCTCTATTAAAATGGTCTAACTGAGAAAAGGGGGCTCTGGCCCGGGCCTGTAGAGAGCCGTCCAGTAGTCCTTGTTGCATTAAAAGAGGGAAGCGTCCCGCCCCACTCAGCAGGTTGGGACGCACATCCAGAGGCAACAATCCCGGCAGACGTGGTGCTGACAGACCAGGGTGAGCGAGGGAGGCTGAAGGGTGCATACCCAAGAGGCCCATGCCGCTGCGCACTGCATTCTGCATCCCTACATATTCACAAGAGAGAAAGACCATCAGCAACAAGTAGAACACTGGCTTCAAACTGGATTATTGGTTTTGCAAGACTCACCCTGCAGTGTGAGCTCTGCAGCATTATCCATGCCTTCAGACTGAGCTTTCTCGTTGGCTGCCTGCTGTGTCTGAAGTCCCATTGGGGTAAACACACTAGCTCCAGGAATGGCTGAAGGCATGAAGTTCCCAGGAATAGTGCTGTTTGGTGGAATTAGTGCACCGAATGGTGAATCCTTCATTCCATCTTGGTTTGAAGTAACAGAAGGCTGCACAAGAGCTGCATTAAAAAGTGAAAAAAAATACAAAATTATAAAATCTTTACAAATTAAGAGTCAACAACAAGTACAACAAGTACATACATGTAGGAGCTGTAGCCTGTGTTGTTTGCAAAAATCCTGTGCAATACAAAATATGTATAAATTATGAAAATGTCAGTTCTTGAAATGCATATAACCAGGGAAATCAAGTACCTGGAGGCGGCTGAGTAGCATTAAACCCTGCCCTTAAAAAGGGTGGTGGTGCAAATCCTGGAGGAGGGATTCCCAATGACATAGAAAAAGGAGGCACTAAACCCACTGCACTGGGCAAAGCTGGAGCCACAGGGATCTGCTTAAAGAAAGGGGAAGTATGTTCTCATTTCAAAACAACTTGGTTGTGAATATGCACAAGCACATACCTGAACAGGCATCATTGTGACCTGCTGGTTGAAGCTCTCGGGCTGAGGGTTAGATGGAGGTGCACTTTCTACAGCCGCTGTTGGAGTTACACTTTCTTTGACACTTTCTGTATTCTTTGCGGTCTCCCACTCTGTAAAAATAAACCAAGTTACTGTATTTAAAAATACATCCTGAAAACCTAGTAAGTATAATCAAGCTCAGTGTGGTATTTTTACCATTATTTACGGTCTCCTGGTCAATAATTCCTCCTTCAGCAAACCCATCCAGGTCATCCACTTTCACCTTCTCCCAAGGTATGTAGGTAACGCCCAAGTCTACGTCCCAAAACTGCTTATACTCCTGCTTTACACCTTTGTTGAGGGCCCAGGCAATCTGATGCATAAAATCAAAAGGCATGTTACATCTAGTGTATGCCCAGTGTCTTATTATGCATAGTAAAAGTACCTTAATGACCTTAGAGCCTATCTTAAAGGATCCTGTGCTGAGTTTCTGGCGGGCACGGTATGCATCCTGTCTATGGACCATACAGATGTAGGCACAGCCTCTTGGAGGAATCATCTGTATAAAAGTATCACTTGTTAAAAACAATACAACACCTGTATAAACCAAAAACAAACATGAATTACATTGATAGACTCAATCTGTCCGAACTCCTCAAAAAGGTTGGTGAGATCTTGTTGAGTTGCTTTCTTATCCACTTGGCCCACCCACAGAGTTGTACTACACACTGCAAGCAGAAATAAAAAGTTAATACATATAGGATATAAAAAAGGTATCCAAAACAAAAACATTTAAACAAAGTTTACCACTAAGAGTCTTGGAACGAACAGGCGGAAGCCCTTTCTTCTGTCTCTCCTTCTCCCTCTCTCGGGCTCTTCTTTCACTGGAGTAGGAGCGCGAGTTTTTCCTCTTGCGTTCTCTCGAGCGTGAGCGCGAGCGTCTGCGGTGCTTGCGTTTTCGAGATCCTGAGCGTGACCGGGACCTTCTCCTTTTGGGCGATCTACAGATCGAATGTATTCCCATTGGTAGAAATTGTGACCAAATGCCAATCAAACTTGTTGGCATGTGTTTTTTTTGGGTTTTTTGGCTCAGAGCAGAAGTGTACTAAAACAAACTAACCGAGAGCGGGAGCGTGATCGTGTCCTTGACCGAGTGCTGACGTTCCTCTTCTCCTCTGCCTCTAGAATCTCCTCTTCAAGTCCATCTGGGCCATCATCAAGATCCATATCCTGGAAACGAAGGAAAACATTCATTGATAAAGTAGTGGTGTTAAAACTATGTATTAGCAAAGGTCATTTTCCTTAGCATACCTGTTGTTGATTATCTATTGAATCATCCATCTTCTCGGATTCAGGATGTAGTGATTGGCTGCTGCTCTGGGCAGCTGCACTGCTGTCTTGGCCAAAAACTGAGTCTTTACTGTCATGACCCAATGCCTAGAGCAATCATACAATTTTACACACAATTATTGCATTTTGCAAAGTTCTGACATTTACTAATTCAGAGAAAAGGTGACCATCAGTACCTTCTGGTGCTGCTGGTGCTCCATGAGCTGCTTCTGAAACTGCTCTAGGTTTTGCTGCTGAAGTTGCTCAGCCAGCTGATGGAACAAGGCGCTGTTGATGGGCTCAGACACTATAGGCCTACAAAAAGAATAGCCATTAGAGCACTTTGGTGATATTTAGAAATTCACATATAACTTACAATTGGGACGATGTATCTTTCTTAGATTCTTCATTGCGCTCGGAATCATTTCCAAAATCAAATGGACCAAGAAGTTTCTTCAATAATAGGGAAAAAGTTAGGAAAACTGTCCAAGTTGTCGACTTCTAACGATTCTCATTACCTTGTTAAAAGATGAGACTCTCTGTTCCAGAGGGTTCAGGGTATTGGCTGTGGCAGCAGCAGTGAGCTGTGCAGTCAGGGCCTGGAGCTGCACCACCAGACCTGCGTCCAGAGCCTGCAGCAGAGAAGGCTGAGGCTTCTGCTGCTGCATCTGCAGACTCTGCACCAGCTGCTGCAGCTGGAGGCACAGATACACACTTAATGCATCAGTTTCATATAGCGCTTTTTGGACACTCAATGATGCTTCACATTGAGTTATTATTCATTCACCCCACGCACGGTAGTAGTGAACTACTATTGTAGTCACAGCTGCCGTGGGGCAGACTGGCAGAAGCGAGTATGTGCCATCTGCCCCTCCAACCATTCATGCATACACTAGACACATTTAAGGCAATGTGGGTGAAGTTTGTTTACTAAGAACACAACCACAGTTTGGGACTGTGCCCCACTGTGGTTCCCAGAGGTCCGACGGGATCTGCCTTTAGCTGCTTTCACATCGCCGACGCTGGAACGCTGAAGCCCTGCTCACCAGACGCACATTCTCTAGTTTTCAGACATAGGGGTTTTCAGACCAGAAGTCCTGGCCAGGTGTGAAGCGCCGGCAGGCTTTGATGCTAAAAGAGTTAAGCTAGTGGCTTTCTTGTGTAAAGTTCTTCTCCAATAATGCAGCTCTGCAGCGTCTCTGTGTCCAGAGACCTTCCAGAGACTTTATATAACAGCAGTATGTGTTCATGGAGGTGCGCCATACGTTTATTCTATTATTAAACGGTACTTCCGCATCGGCGAACACGCTGGAAGCAGTTGCATAAGGTCACAGAAGCATGAAAACGCATATGTTCACAAGCACTATGTCCCCCATTGTCAACCTTTAGTTCTGGTGTAGCTCCTGTTTTGGTTGTTTACAAGTATGTGCAGTCTGCTCGCTCAGACCACTAATGTCCACATGACCACTTTGCGGCTATCTGATTGGTCGCTGCACAAGCGTCCGAGGAAACGCTCAGCAAAATGTATCTCCTGGGTGCGTCAATTTTCCGCTCCTGGACCTCCGACGCGCAGTCCGTTCCTGCATTCCGAGACGCACATGCATTTCGACGCTCGAATGCGCGTCACCATTGACTTTGCATTGAAAGCCAACGCAACGCATGATCCGGTCTAAACGCAGCTTTTCACATGCACCACATCTTGTACAGTATGTGACAGTTCCCAAAGATAAAGACCAACTTCACAGGATTCATTACCTGCTGTCCCTGGGGACTTTGTAATATCTGGGCCACAGCAGCGACAGTGTCTGTGTTGGAGATCTGTGAGGCCCAGTCTGGCAGAGCCTGAACCATATTGGCAGGTGTAGCAGGGGTTGCCGGTGTACCTGTGCAGATAAAAAAAGACTACAGATAACCAAACATCAACTCAAGTAACAAAGCGTTCAATTAGACTCACCAGGTGTGGCATTATTGACTGGAGCAGCACTGCTGGACATGACAGGTGTGACACTGGGAGGAGGAAGGCCGGCTGCCATGTCCAATAGTGGCTGGATTATGTCACTCTTGAAAACAGCATTTTTTTGCCAAAGGTTTAGCACTCGCACAATCTTGCTCTGAAATCCAATTCAACAAAATAAGACAAGTAATCAATGAGCAAATTAATAATGGTTAGAATACAAATAGAGTCAAATGTACTACATCAAGAATCAAAACAGGGGAACAATGTATCCCACAAGTATGTTACCTTGTCATCCGGAGGACAGCGGTAGAGGTACTGAAATGTTGAAATTATATTTTTGCTGAAGCGAGGAGCAAAGACATCCTTCTCGGTCCCAAACTGATGCCTGGACTGTCTGACTATAGAGTCTATGACGTACAGCCCGGGAACTTTGTACTCTGGTTTGCACTGGTGAGAGAAGTATTATTAGCCTGGGTTGATGGAAAGTGCATCTGGCTCTTAGAACCAACCAAGATGTGAAGCATACCTTTAGTATGAACTTTTCTACACTTTGGACAACATGCTTGTAGAACTGTAACACAAATAAACAGGCTGGTTATTTTACTGACATTTTAATTGTTTTAAGGAAGAGCTCATTCCTCACTTTCACCTGTAAAAAATAGATTAGATTAGATAGATGACTCCCAAAAGCTACTGTGTCAGATAGCATTTAACCCTTAAAGCGATACAGCAGCATAAGAGTCCTGAATCAGGACACTTTCTATACAGTGACCTGGATTATGTTTCTTTATCTTGTATAAAAAGTCAGAGCTTCAGCTTTTGTAATTTTTGAAAAACAATGGCTAATTCAAAAACATTGAGTATACTCATTGAGTATATAAAACGGCTTCAATAATCCATACAATTTGATTTAAAAAAAATAACTTTTATAATTCCTTTGAATTTTAGACCGATGTGCATTAGTCCATCATCATGAGAAAGTTGAGCATTTCAATTATTCACTTAATTCTCATTTATTTGTTTAAATATTTGCTTGTTAAGTTTGTATAAACTAGTTTTTGATTTTATAAAGGACGTTGTGTTTGATGTTTATGAGCAGGTTTTTTTGTTTAAGCCTGGATGTGCTATGACTGTCAAGGATTTGCTATAAAGCTGCGTGGAGCAGTGATAGTTCATACAGTGCCTTGCGAAAGTATCCCATTCATCTCAAACAAGGAGAAGACTGATCAGAGATGCAGCCAAGAGGCCCATGATCACTCTGGATGAACTGCAGGTAACTACAGCTGAGGTGGGAGAGTCTGTCCATAGGACAACAATCAGTCGTGCACTGCACAAATCTGGCCTTTATGGAAGAGTGGCAAGAAGAAAGCCATTTCTCAAAGATATCCATAAAAAGTCTCGTTTAAAGTTTGCCACAAGCCACCTGGGAGACACACCAAACATGTGGAAGAAGGTGCTCTGGTTAGATGAAACCAAAATCGAACTTTTTGGCCACAACGATATGTTTGGCGTAAAAGCAACACAGCTCGTCACCCTGAACACACCATCCCCACTGTCAAACATGGTGGTGGCAGCATCATGGTTTGGGCCTGCTTTTCTTCAGCAGGGACAGGGAAGATGGCTAAAATTGATGGGAAGATGGATGGAGCCAAATACAGGACCATTCTGGAGGAAAACTTGTTGGAGTCTGCAAAAGACCTGATACTTTGACGGAGATTTATCTTCCAACAGGACAATGATCCAAAACATAAAGCCAAATCTACAATGGAATGGTTCACAAATAGACGTATCCAGGTGTTAGAATGACCAAGTCAAAGTCCAGACCTGATTCCAATCGAGAATCTGTGGGAAGAGCTGAAGACTGCTGTTCACAAACGCTCTCCATTCAACCTCACTGAGCTCGAGCTGTTTTGCAAGGAAGAATGGGCAAGAATTCCAGTCTCTCGATGTGCAAAACTGATAGAGACATACCCCAAGCGACTTGCAGCTGTAATTGCAGCAAAAGGTGGCGCTACAAAGTATTAGCGCAAGGGGGCCGAATAATATTGCACGCCCCACTTTTCAGTTTTTTATTTGTTAAAAGTTTAAATTATCCAATACATTTCGTTCCACTTCACGATTGTGTCCCACTTGTTGTTGATTCATGACAAAAAATAAATTTTTTATATCTTTATGTTTGAAGCCTGTAATGTGGCGAAAGGTTAAAAGGTTCATACTTTCGCAAAGCACTGTAAAAGCATTGTGCTTTGAGATTTAAACACATGTGAAGTGTTCTCTGTTGAGATCTCTTGGGTCCAAAGAGGGAATGACCCGCCATGTGTGCCCGCATGGACTCTGGGATGTGCTGTAAAAGCCGCGTTTTTCAGCAGAGAAATGTGTGAGAAAAGTGTGTCAAATGTTCACTGTCAAGCCTCATGAGAGCTAATGTTGTGCATAATTTGTTAGATTTTTCTCTTGCTGTTCAATATAGATTGCATTAGAAAAAAACATCGCAATTATATCATTATCACAATAATATCATTATCGCAATAATATAGGGGCTGACTACCACCCCCCAACCCAGAAATGGACTAAGGGGAAGAAAATGGATGGATGGATCGCAATAAATGTTAAATGTTTTAATGGTCTTGGGCATTCCTATTTTTCAGAACTGTTTTTACCATACAGTATGAACCTTCCCGGCCCGTACGCTCCTCCGGCAGCAGACTTCTAAACATTCCCATGGTCAAGACAGACCCTCACGGCGAGGCATCTTTCCAGTACTACGGCCCCCGTCTCTGGAACAGTCTGCCGGAGGAGCTAAGGACCGCAGAGAACGTTAATATTTTTAAAAGCAGGCATGAGGTTTTTTGATTAGCTTTTGACTAGTATTTATTATTACATTTTATATATTCTATTTATTTTTATAAACGGAGGGGGGGAAATATTGTTTTAAAAATACCTGGCTATGTGTGGACATGGCCTGTAAAGCACTTTGTGTTGCATGTTATGTATGAAAAGCGCTTTATAAATAAAATTTGATTGATTGATATGGAGTATTTCGATGAAGATATGTCAATAACACCCATTTCAAATATTGCTCCAATTTCCAATATTGTGCAGCCCTGATTTACATATCTTTATGTAAATGTAGTCTTTATGGGACTAAATATGATTGCTAATGGACAGGTTTTTTAGAGACATTCTTTTTGAAGTGGTCGGTACAAAAGGTCAGAACTTGCTGTAAAGCAATTTAGAAGCTGCAAAGAAGGCCATAACAAAGAGAGGGCTTAAGCCTGAGCCACTGAGCCATACTAGGACCCCAGGAAGAGTAGTGGCAACATGAAAACATCAAAAACAATACTGAGTGGACTGATGACGTGCAGGAAATCATTAGGGAGAAAATAACCTTTGCTCTCAGACTCAGAATAATGAGACAAACGTAAGTTTAAAGCTATCATAAATTAGGATTAAGGACTATGACTTATGCCTGCTATGATTGGCACCAGAACGTTGAAATGGTTAAGTATAACCAGTATACTCATAAATATTTGTTGTATTTTTATTAGGACTGTCAAACGATTAACATTTTTTAGTTGATTAATCGCACAGAAATGATGAGTTAACTCACGATTAATCGCATTTTTAACATCCATCCATCCATTCCATCCATTTTCTTCCCCTTAATCCATTTCTGGGTCGGGGGGGTGGCAGTCAGAGCTGCACCCAGTCACAGAGCACCAGCCCCTCACTGATCCTCCTGCAGGTGGTGAGTCCACAGGAGCTGAGATCTTTCAGTGGGGGCTTCAGGCAAAGTGGGGTTAAGTGTCTTGCCCAAGGACACAACGACAGCAGTCATCAGTGGAAGTCGTGAAGTAGGTCTTGAGGTGGGCTCGAACCCACAACCTTCAGGCTCAAAGGCCAATGCTCTACCAACTGAGCTACTGTCGCCCCTGCATTTTTAACATTCTATTTCAAATCCACTCCAATTGAAGTTAAATGAGATTATCAAATGTAATAATGACACATTGTCATTCATACCAAATGTAATTAAATCTTTTAGATGTGGGCACAACCAAAATGAGCTGTTAATGAAAGGGTAAATTTACGTACCCCTGCTTTAATTCAGCGTTTGTTTAGTTTAGTTTTAGGAGGAGACAGGTACACTTTTGCGGTGTATTTGCGTGCATAGGTTACGCACAGGTTGCAAAGACACGAACACAACATGCAGACAATAGTTTTCTGGCGTTTATGGTTTTATATGACCATGTTACCGCGGCGCCATTCACTCACAGCCGCTCACAGCCATGTTGTTGTTAGCGGCTCACAAGCAGGAGGCGGACTTCAGTTCACAGCAAACTTGAGTTCCCAGAGGGCCTACCTGCTCTGATGCCATCTCACACGCAGCATTCTGAGTGATATTATGGATAAATGGGCGGGTCATTCGGACATGCGTTAATGCGTCTTTTTTTTTTACGCGTTAATGAAAAATGTAATTAACGTGAGTTAACGCGATAACTTTGACAGCCCTAATTTTTATATGTTAAATAAAAGTAAGACTTGGGACTAAAGTGTGAGTGGGCCTTAAAAACCATAAGCTGCACACACTCAACATTCAACAGCCAAGACACTTTTGACATTTAGAACAAAAAATGATGCGCATATAAATGCAGAGAACAGATGTAAACTTCAAACATAGCACATAGAGCCTTTAGGACAGGGGTGTCAAATTCATTTTGGTCCGGGGGCCAAAGACAACCTACTTGGACCTCAACTGGGCCGGACCAGAAGATGCTCTTCAAAAAAGTCCAACCTTTTGTGCGCATTAACACATTTATTTAAAACTTCCTTTAAAACACTGTCCTTTAATACTCACTCAGTTTTAACGGTAAATCTGTTACAAACTTAAATGTAACAGTGAGTTTTTCATAGTGCAAATAATGTTGCAAATAATAATTACCTTGTAAATGGCATTTCACAATATCTATATTTATATTGGTATGTTAGCTTTGTTTTAAGGCCCATTAGAGAAAACTTGATCACAAAGGTAAAGTAGGTAGATCGAAAAAAGCACTTTAATGGTGCTTTCAGACCGGCAACGCTGAAACGCACGTTCTCTAGTTTTCAGACGCAGGGGTCCTGGCGCGCGCCGGAAGTAGCCGGCGGGCTCTGATGCTAACAGAGTTTAGCTAGCGGCTTCTTGTGTACAGATCTTCTCCAATAATGCAGCTTTGCAGCGTGTGTCTGTGTTCAGAGACCTTCCACAGAGTTTATATAACAGTAGTATGTGTTCACGGAGGTGCGCAATACGTTTATTTTACTATTATACAGTACTTCCGCATTGGCGAACACACTCAAAGTAGTTGCATAAAGTCACGGGAGCATGAAAACTCACATGTTAACAAGCACACAGTCCCCCATTGTCAACCCTGGTTCAGTCCTGATGTAGCTCCTGTTTTGGCTGCTTACGAGTTTTTTCAGTCTGCTCGCTCAGTCCGCCAACGTCCCCGTGACCACTTTGCGGCTCTCTGATTGGTTACTGCACGAACGTCCCGAGGAAAGGGTGAGCAAAATTCATTTCCTGCGTTCCTC